TAGGGTGATACCATATTATCCAGTAGGGGTAAATATCAGCGCCAGGGCAAGACGACATTGTGTGCGTTTAACCTGCGAGTGTTCGTTCAACCTGTGGAAGCACCATTGAATTATGTGCGTTGTTTCCATGAGCTGAACTGCCCCTTCCGAACAGGCACGTTTTCAACTGGCCCTGCACTAGTCTTACTATAATTCCAGGAATCTCTGTCTGTCTGTCTGTCCGTCGATTATCTCCAGAACCGGGCACCGTATGAAGTTGAAAATCGGCGGGTATATTTTTCGGGACAGCAGAATGTGCAGTGCAAAGTTTGAAGTTGTTTGGACCAGCGGTTCTCGAAAAAGCTGCAAAAAGCAGTATTTTCTGAGGCAAACGTGGCAGTATATAGCTTAGAACATAACACCTGCACGCACTGCCGTTCTTTTCCATTGTTTACGTCATGTTTAAGCTAAAGCGCGCGTGCTCAATATGACGCAAACAATGCAAAAAGGACGGGCACGCGCACGTGCATTGCAGGGCGATACATTGTCCAGTATGGGTGAATACTAATGGATCAATGGGTGAATAGCACTGCATACCATGTTTCCGAATCTACACGGGCACATTATTTTTTCAGTCGACTGAGCGACCATTGAAGGTGGTCGAACTTCAAACTTGGCACAAACTTTGACGTAAGTGTGCCTTCATCCTGTGAAAACAACACCATTGAATAGCTTGCGTTGTTTGCACGAGCAGTTCTCAAAAACTCTGCAAGAGTATGCAACCTATACCAGCGGCAAAGCAATTTGCGTTTCCCGAACACGCACATTTTAGACGGGCACTGCACTAGTCTATACTATAATTCCAGGAATCTCTGTCTGTCTGTCTGTCCGTCGATTATCTCCAGAACCGGGCACCGTATGTAGTTGAAAATCGGCGGGTATATTTTTTGGGACAGCAGAATGTGCAGTGCAAAGTTTGAAGTTGTGTGGACCAGCGGTTCTCGAAAAAGCTGAAAAAAGCAGTATTTTCTGAGGCAAACGTGGCAATATATAGCTTAGAACATAACACCCGCACGCACTGCCGTTCTTTTCAATTGTTTACGTCATGTTTAAGCTAAAGCGCGCGTGCTCAATGACGCAAATAATGCAAAAAGGACGGGCACGCGCACGTGCATTGCTGGGCGATACATTGTCCAGTATGGGTGAATACTAATGGATCAATGGGTGAATAGCACTGCGTACCATGTTTTCGTATGTACACGGGCACATTATTTTTGCCGTCGACTGAGCGACCATTGTAGGTGGTCGAACTTCAAACTTGGCAAAAATGTTGACGTAAGTGTGCGTTCAACCTGTGAAAACAACACCATTGAATCGCGTGCGTTGTTTGCACGAGCAGTTCTCCAAAACTCTGCTATGATGCAACCTATACCAGCGGCAAAGCAATTTGCGTTTCCCGAACATGCACATTTTAGACGGGCACTGCACTAGTGTAACCAATACCAAACAAAATTTAAAGTAAAAAAAAGGTAAATTTGGAGCAGTAGTTGAAATATAGTTAGGTTTTTCCAACGGTGGTCGGCCGATCACCGTTGGAAATGTATACAAAAATACCATTTTCTTGAAAATTACTTCACACAAGGTGCCATAATTTTACAGGATGCTTTAGACTCTCATTTACCAACATCCTAATAAGGTATTTCTTAAAAACTTGGTAGTTTTATTTTTCGATGTTTGCAAATGTTGTATATTCCCTTTTTAAGGGCCCCGAAAAAATTTGGATTCTAGATGTGGTGTGATCTGAGGGAATTCCTGACCACTTTAACCAATGCTTTTTGAGGAAAAGATGGTGGTGTACTCATTGCCTGCCTTTATTGCGACGTCACATTAAAAAAAAAACCAAAAAGGGTTTTTTTGGTGAGGGGGGGGGGGCATGGTCCCCTTTGCTCCCCCCCCCCCCCCGTCCTGGATCCGCCCTTGATATTAAGTCGTAAGTTCAGCGAGTGATCGGTCTTGATGTCTTACATAAGGAGATTAAATTTCGTGAGAAACCGTCAAACAACTGAAACATTTCTTTCGAGAAAGAGCGTGCTGCATAAAACTAGTGGTCTCGCACCGCCAAGACATACATCCGCGCCGCACGCCGTAGAATATTTTAAGTTTTGTTCAATAGAGGGCGCGCCACATAAATAGTGGTCTCAACAACGCATCAACACGGATGCTGCAAAATTGAACCCAAAAAGAACAACCTCGTTTCCGATTAACTACTCAAGAAATACAAAATGGATTAAATTGAAATTTCGTGCAATTAGTTTTCACGATGTGAAGCATAAGTAGTTTGCATGGCGTGAGAAACCGTGGAGCTATAAATGTAACATTCAATTCAATTCAAGAAGACATTTATTCCTCACTCCTTTAGAGAATACATCCATAAATAAAAGAAAGACTGGTAAATAGCAAAATAACAAAATCAATAAATTTGTCTCAAAAATAATAAAAGTAAAATGCGCTTTGAAGAAATGATAAACTTATTTCAATATATGTACAAGAGAAAGTAAGGCGTATGGGACTGTTTACATGATCGTAACAATCTAGTGTTTTAAACGTTAAAAATCCATGTTGTCTTCCATTAGGATTGTATTTGTTGAAATTAAAACCCTGTATTGTTACGGTCATAATAGCTTGATTATTTGACGGTTTTTTATGAAATTTATTTTTTTTGATGTCAAACATCATGACAAATGAGTGTACGAAAGTTCATTTTAATGTAACGTGTATTTCTTGAATTGTTGGCCCCAAATCGAGTTTGGTGGTGGAGATCGAGACCACTATAATAGAGGGCGCGCCACATAAATAGTGGTCTCAACAACGCATCAACACGGATGCTGCACAACTGAACAACAAGAACAAACTCGTTTCCAATGAACTACTAAAAAAAAATACAAAATGCATTAAATTGAAATTTCGTGCAATTTATTTTCACGAAGTGTAGCATAATAGTTAGAATGGCGTTAGAAACCGTGTACCTATAAATATAATATGATCGTAACAATCTAGTGTTTTAAACGCTAAAAATCCACGTTGACTTCCATTAGGATTGTATTTGTCGCAATTAAAACTTTGTATTGTTACGGTCATTATAGCTTGATTATTTGACGTCTTTTATGAAATTAAATCTTTTGATGTCAAACATCATGACAAATGAGTGTACGAAAATTCATTTTAATGTAACGTGTATTTTTTGAGTTGTTGCCCCAAAATCGAGTTTGGTGGTGGAGATCGAGACCACTATAATGGCTTTAGTGGCTTTATATTTGCAAAGGAGTTTAGGGATCATTTTTATCAAGATGACGATTGGCTTCGCAACCACCTTTAGACTGGAGTGGTCATCTTCGACGGGCAATGTGTCCCAAAAGTTATCAGATCCCCCCCCCCCCCAACATAAAAAAAATTGAACTACGCATTTCAACTTCGCCTTCGCGGAGTTGCTCAACCAAACCTATGAACTTGTGTATTTATTATGCAGCATATAATTATAGACCTAGAGAGGGTGTACTAAGTGAATAAACCTTTATTCAAGTGGCCTAAAAATAAATAACCGACTGTGGTGTACTAAACAAAAAAAATCGCCCATGTCCCGACCGCACTATTTTTTTCCGTACGCCTTTTTTTCTGTAGAAGAATATTCTTGTTTTGGGGGGATGGGGAAAACAACCTTAGAAATGTTGCCAGCGGGGATCGAACCTTGGTCTTCCCGCTCATGAGATCCGTTGCTAATCCACTAGGCCACAGGTGCTACACAACCGTTAGTGGTAATTTTAATCATGATATCATGTACATGTATCTAAATTCATCCCTATATTAGAGAGTACAGCGCCCTCTGTTGATAGGGACTGCCGCCGGCAAGCCTTTTTAAGGTAGCAGACCAGTAAATAAACTTCCATAGACCCCAATGGTAAATGCTCCCACTTCAAAAAATTCGGGAAAAATACTCACAACTCTCCACGGTGTTCGAGACGCACATCAAATTAAAGCTTATTTCATCATCTTTCATTTTCTTTTCAATTTTCGGGGGGTCAACTGATGACTTTTAGGAGAAATTTCCATCTGAAGATGATCACCCCTGAAAATAGTCCTGAAGCCCATCGCCATTTTGAAAAACGATGCCTACACTCCATTGCAAAATAGAGCGCTTTTAGTGTCCAAATTACATCAAAATTACACAGAACTGCAAGCTCCCAGTCCTGGCACGGCTTCCACTCATATTTTTTACAAACCCTCAAGTTCATGGCCCACAGCATGCCCAAATACCGAAGATTTTGAGGGCATGCAAATCGTGATTTGGCCGGCGCAGGCAATTTCGGACCGATTTACTGGTCTGCACCCTTAAGTAAACCGTTAGTTTGCCGGGATTACCGCCGGCAATATCCACTATCAAAAATATTCTTGATTCTAATTTGATCGAAACAAAACAGGGGCCCTACATGTACGCTACACGATCACCCTATATTTAAACACAGCAAAAAGAGCACCCTCTAGAAAGATTTGTTGCTGTATTATTTGCTGTGTTTGAAACAAATATTAGTTTGCTGAGGCCTACATCTACTTAACTAAAGTCGATAGTATTATGTATACATATGTATTAGTATTATGATGTTTTAATTACTTTTTGGGGGTCAAAATTTCAACAACAAAAAATGCAAGGGTTACAATCGTACTTTAAAAAAAACAGTATTCGGGCAAAAGTTGGAATGTGTATAGCATCTCCCATGCAATTTTTTTTTATAAAAATGGGTTACAATTATACTTAATATATTTGTCTCCACAACTGGATTTTATTTTTTTGAAATCGTCAGTCATATTATTTCTAAGCATCAATATTTAGGTTTTACAAAATTGGAAACGATAGAGTGAAAATAAACATAAAATCCAAAACTGATCGCGGAGGGAGGATGTTTCTAAGACAGCTGATTGTGAGAGATTAAATTTGAGTAAATCACAAACAGAAACTAAAAAAAGTCTCCCATTGAAAAGTGACTTTTTATTTCATCTGTTACACTGAAATGGTTCAAATTTGAGTAGTAGTTTACGACACACTAGAGAAAGAGTTACAATGGAAGGAAACCCTCCCCTTCTTCCCTTAACATCCCATTGAATTACAACACAAACCAAATAATTTGTGTACCAAATATTTAAAAATCAACATAAACTACCACAGTCCGTAAGAGTTTGCGTAACAGTTAGAACATGCATAATCAACAGCATCGTATCAGAATAATCCTAATGGTAATGCTGGAAACAAAACGTTCCATTAATAAAGAAAAAGACATTCCTGGTACCCTTGTGTTATTCAGCTGGTAAACGCAAATTCACTAAAGCAGAAAAATAAACCGTCCCCGTTTTTTTCCAAACTTTTCTCGCGTTTCTGCCATTTTTTTTTCAAGGAAATGCCTGTAAAATATATATTACTAAATCTCAGGTCATCTTCACTTCTTTTATATTGGACTTCAATATTCAACTTTTCAACTTTTCGATTCCCAAACGTTTTTTGGTCTGTCTGCACAACTCATGCAGCCTTCCGAATGACTCCAAAAACTGCGAAGATATTCACTTCATGAACCCTTTCCTAAATATTTCTGATAATGTTTTTTTTTTAAGTTAAATGGGACCTACAGAAGTTCTTTCACTTTTTCCTTTGGAATTACACAGATTTTTCTAAATGAATCACAGACATTGCTTTTATCATCACTATGTGAAAATTAAAGTTTGAATTTAACAGTAACATTTCTAACTGCTCTGTAAATACATGAAAACTCCAACTAAAATGTCAGTACAAATTACAACAGAAAAAAAAATGGCCAAAGTGTTATAAATGCTATTTTGATAAAAAAAAACCTCAATAACTTTAAAAGGTTTTAATTGAAAAAGCGACACAAATGGATGGTGAGTGAAGTATTGGGGGCGTGGTTAAGGGAAGAAGGGATACGATAAGGGTGGGGGACCAAGAGGTACCACAGATGAACACCGTAAAAAATCCCAGATATGGAATTGTCTTTTTTTCCTTTAATCTGTACACATGGTATACCACCCAATGGGAATCTTCGTTCTTTTTATTTTTTTTTATTTTGAACATTTTGTTAAAAGAACTGTGGCTTCAACACACTGTGCATAAAATGTGACACGGAAAATGTATGTAATTGACAAAGCACTCAATCTTTTTTTATTTTTAATTTTTACGAACATCCCAAGTGCAACCTAAGAACATACACTGGATGTCTCGAGGGGAGAGAAAGGTAAAACCAGGGATTTTTTTGTTAAGTTTACAGTCTTCTGAAAATGGATTTGAACAAGTTTAATGTCGGTTGAAATCCACTGTTGCTATCAATTGTTGTTACAATCTTGTCAAAAACTATTAAACCTCCCCCCCCCCCCAAAAAAAAACCCACCTCTACAAAGACAAAAGACCAGAGTTCAGCATCCGCTCCAAAAAAAACCCAAATGTTCTTGAGATGGCTAATGCCCTGTTGTGTCCTCAGGCAGTATACTTTACAAGATCTTTCTACGCCTGCCCCGTTGTCCTACTCATATGGAACAATTTTATGAACCACTGTTGAAGTTACGGTATGTTTAACCAACAAGCGGCAAAACAAGACCTTGTTATTGAGAATTGTTGGTTTCGAAAAGGAATACCATACTACTTCAACATGATGTTTGAGGAAACATTCCGATTTGTAAGTTTTCCTTTCAAACATGATTGAACACCCAATCTGTGCTTTGTAAAATACTGAACTCTGTTAAAACGGACCTTGGTTATGACACCTTAGGAGAGCAAACTTTACAGTAAACACCACTGTCTTTTTTACGGCCAGCATTTTAAGTTGAACAAGTTTGTAACGTGTATCATCAGCACATCACTCATTATGTACGCAGTCATTTTTTAACCGAGTATTTGAACGAAGTAAGCATAAGTCATACCAGTTCTTTCTACTTCCTTAATACGACGCATTTTCCTTCTCAAGTCCATTTACAGAAGTAAAACGAATAAACTTTTCATTGTATTTTTATCATTTTCCCCCTGCGAGACATCCTGTGTGTTAACAGAGGCAGTGGTATTCTGCCTTTTAAGCTATATATCATTTAACATGTACAATTTTCAAAAAAGTTTACATGATAATAACTTTGTTACATCTAGATAGAGAGAGAAAACGAAAGGCCTATTGAATGATGAAACAAGCTTTAGGTACAAAGGCTACTGCTCAGACAGACAGCCAAAAACACTTCCGACGCTAAATCCATCCCAAACATTGCAATATAAAAATATTAAAAAGAAACATTTTTTTTACCCCTTTTTAAAGTGCATCAACGCTGCTCTACGAGTTACAACATTCAACAAGTTAATCGTGTTTTTTCCCCATTATCATTATTTTCCCCCGACACGTCTTTAATCTTAAGATATAACAGTAATAATTAAAACTGTACAGCTTTGTCAAAAGAGAGAAAAATCAATGAGAGGAAAGCAAAGATACATCAAAGGTATTTATAACAATGAATAACTAGTCCACGCCTAATATTACGCTTGACTGAATGCTATATCAATATCACAAGAAGCAAAAAAATATATATAATCCACCCACAATCCGAAGAAGTGGTTTTGTCAACTAACTATTTTTTAATAACTTTCCTTTTCTAGCCACTACTTGGTGTCTCCAAAAACAAACAAAAAGAAAAGGAAAAAAAAAAAGAGAAAGAAAGTACATCTTTTTACATGAACTACTCATGAAATTCACCTTAGCCATGCGTAATTAAAAGAGCTCATCTGTTCCTAGTTGTTGTTGGTTTGTGTACAGGGAGAGAGTTATCAAGATCTTAAACCATATAGAATTTTCTTTTTCGAACTGGAATTAACACCCACATGCGTACAGCGTCTTTCTGCCGGCGGACTACACATTATACTTTTTTTTGTTAAATTCATTAATGTTTTTCAAGACCCTTAGAAGACACACACACATATACAACTTAGCTACGCATAGCCATACAACCATACATTACAGAAAGGATCTGTCGAATTTTTTGGGACTGAAAAAATCTGCGATGGTTACAATGTTTACATACGTACAAGCCATCAAAACACGGTTTCCAAGCGGAGCATAGACCAGCCTCCGTCACATATATATAAACCAACAAAATATAAAACCAAAAAAAACCAAAGCAACAACCCCAAGTTGTGTCATTTTATATCAATAATAAAGGTCACTTAAAAATGTACACAGAATCTATACTTTTTAATTTCATAGTTCACATTTAAAAGTGGTTATTGTACAGAGGATCGACATGAACTACAAGCTAATAGTTAATACCTTTACTGAACGTTATCATGAATGCCTGATGAAGCTGTGTACAAGCCATGCGGGTTGGATGCCTTGATTAGAGTAGATTTATAAACAAGGAGTGCTGAACCATCCCCCAAACGAGGTATTAATTGTGCAAAATGACAAAAACATCCCTTGACTTGTAACAGTATCTCCTGAAGGGTATATAGCCAATATGCATGCACTGTGAAAACCAAAAACTAACATTGCAAGTTGGTAGTTTGGTAGTTAATTGCACAATCCAAGCAGATCAAAATAGTTATTTTCTTATAAAAGCTTCAAGATTTCACCTAACTTTTCTTAGATGGTCCACAGTGCATTACTCAGCTGCAAGACCAAGCAGAACTCTGAACTGTGATTAAACTAAGGTCTTTTTTTTCTGATTTTCAGCGCGGTTATCACTCTGCATCATTTAGTAGGCGATACGGGATACCGGACTATGCCTTGTTCCCAGACAACATTGTGTAACACAACACCAACACTGAAACATTACGTCATAGGGACCAGCCTATTGAGGGCAAGGTATGATACATGAAAGATATGTACATGTACAGAGATCAAATGACCTATTAAACATACCATACTGAAATCACTATCGACAATCCATTTCACATTGTTGTAGCCTGAATGGGTCTTCTTACAAGAACAACATCCAAATCTCATTTTAGCTGGAAACCAAACCACTATCTAGACCAGATATCTGCCATTTTGACCTTCGTTTTTCATGAATTAAACCAACCATTTTCTTTTTTTTACTGAAATCTTCAAATGATGTTTTTCTCAGCTGAAATTCACAGCTATATCAAAGCAGCTGGCAGCTTTCCTAGTGAGGCATTTTTGTTGTAAAATGATGGTTTTATAAGGGAGAGAACGCCTTAACAGATTAGTCATTCATGGAGACTATGACCTGCATAGCCCAGACACTCCTGGAGCAAGACAATTCCGCCTTTAAGTCACATGTTGAGTGATATTTTTTCAGATTTAGTACAATGACAAAAAGATGTTAGGCAAATATGGGCTTAGTTGAATGAGGTTCTTCACTGTTGCCACGGTCAAGTGATAAGTCTTTCTGGAACCCAACTCGTGTTGTCAGATAAGCGCAGACTGCCAGTATTAGCAAGCCAGGATTTCAAATAGGGAATTGAACATGCCTCCACCAAACCCTTGCAAACACAACCCTTCATCAAAGCGCTCTGCAGAAAGTGTTGCTCAATAGTTGGTACACACACCTTATTTGTTGGTTGGTAACCAATTTTTCCCTGCGGTTAATAAAATGTCTCTGTTGACCCCCGTAATACCCACATGATCACGTCTGAGTGTACACACAATGCACATCCACACACATTAAGGCTTGACTCCACAACTTTCCGTTACCCAACCCTCCCCCTAAAGAAACAAAACAAATCACAGTTCTAGAATTTTAAGCTCTACAAGCTAAGGCTTAAAAATTAGCGCAATTTTGTAACTTCTGAAGAATCACTGGTATACATTATTCTCACACGTAAATATCTATACATTGTAATGAATAAGGAGAGAGGAATTTCTTAAGTCATACACAATGTACAAAAAGAGAAGGGTTTTGGGTGCATAATAAATGCGCACAGCGTTTTACTACCCATGCACCTGAGACTGTTGCCATGACTACCACATTACCCAGAATGCACTCATCTGCACAGATACACTTCTCAATTGCACTTTAGTCCAGTATTTTTTTTTTTTTATTTCCTTTTTTTTGTCTTTTCTTTTATGAGGCCAAAAGATTTTCTCTCATATTGACATAATTTCTGACAAAACTTCACAACAATATCACAACACCAGCTAAAGGAGCCCCATCTGATTTCCTTTTGATTTTAACAGAATTTTGGCAATTTTTGACAGTTTCTTTACATTTACGTTTACAGATTCTTGACTTGTTGGCAGAAATTCCACATGGGAAATAAACTCATTTGGACATCCATCAATCGTTTCATGCGTGACCCGAATACTTGTCCAAAAATGGGCAAGCGGGTTTCCGAATTATGGGATCTCAGCATACATTCACGATCCAATGCCGACTTTCAAAAGCCTTTTTTTTTAGCAAAAACCTTGTCCAACATTCTGCATGCCTTCTGTGCAAATTTTCTCAGGAATAGTAAAAGCCGTGTTAACAAGAGGTACACATTTCGTGTCTCTCCTCCAATGACAGAGAGACACTCGTTACGTTTGTATTTTTACTTTAAATTTGTTTAAAATTTATACAGAGTCCCTTTAAGGAACAAGGGCCACACCATACACCCTGCTGTTGATGATTTTGTATGTCATTAAAGGAGACCGCCCTTCCCAGCGACGTTCTCGTTACCTATAAGTAACCATCCCTGTTCTTTGGAGCCTGCCAAACAGTCAGCCTCAGCATCATTTTCTCTGTGGTCATTATACTCTCTTTGCTGCTCAGGGTAGGTTTGTTTTCAGTTATGTTGTTTTTTCTCTCTCTCACATCTAGGGGATGTTGAAGGGGGGGTCTTGGTCTATGATGCAGGGGAGGGGCCTGTGTTGTTAGGGGGTGTCGGCGAATCCTTGCGGGGTGGCATTCTCTCGTTGACCTTATCTAGGCCCTTGGCCTCATCGAAGCCGCTGATCTTGTGAAAATCCATTGCTGAGGGAGGAGGGGAAAAAATGAAAATGTCGAAATAGTGAGCCAAGTTTCTTGTGTTTGTGGCAGCATTTGGGACTCAGACCGAAACAAAATGATCCTTCTACTGAAAAGGAGATCATAATTTTGAAGGTGACTTGTGTCACATCTTATTCCCCTTTTAAAGCCAGTGCCTGACAGGTGCCACAAAGCCACTGCGGTGGTAGAGATTGCGATCGACGAGATGATTCAAATCCATTCTTCGAAACGCACACGAGGAATGCTTGGAATTTCCTGGGTAGCGCTGCCAATGTTCCCAAGACTAAATTTGATTTCGTTAACAGCAACCTCTACTGCTGCTGCAGCTTTACTGCACTTGTCAGGGACCCCTGTGTCAGGGGTAAATCCAATAGAAAAATGTGCGAGGTATGTTTGGAATGTCCTGGATAGCACTGCCAACGTTCCCAAGACTGAATTAGATTCATCTCATGAGCTTTACTGGGTTTTCTATGGACAAGCTATATTAGTGGGATATAATCCAAACCCTGTCTCAGACCGAGACTGTTGTGGGGGTACATGTGCAAGGAGTCCATTAAAGCACTCAGATCATTCTCCCAAGATCTGTTTCCCCCAGGATGCTCACCGACCAACTTACCATTTTTCAGGGTATCCCTGCCTCCAGACAGAATTCCTGCTGGTAACATTCCTGTAGGTGTCAAGCCTTTCAACGTTAGCACTGTCTCGCTCTCTTCTCTGTTAAAAAAGCAGGTCAAAATTTCATCCTTTGAAAATTAAATTTGAATCTAAGTGGTATGCATTTTGTTAACATTTTACTCTCCCTCCCCCCCCCCCCCCCAATTTTGTTTACATTCTTAGGTTCACATTGCAGATTTTTATTTCTCATTTGTTTTCTGGGAAGACCGCTGATCTCTGTTACTGACATGGACAAGCGGCAATCACTGCTCACTCGCTGAATGATGCATTAAGTCTGACGTTGTCAGGTGGCCATTTTAGTTCACCCAGCTCAGGAGCCAGCCTCGACTCCATGGGAGCGTGTGCATTCCTTCATTTACCCCTGGCCGTGAGGAGTACATAAAAGACGCTGACCGGCTATTCAGCGCGTACTGAGCGTGTATTTGGAAGACTGCACACCCTATGTGTGCTCCCGCGTTATCTCCAGTGCATCACATGGAAAACCACATGGCGCAGCAATATCCAATGTTCTATGCTTCGTACGCTTTGTGATTACCCGCTAGCGTGACATCAATAATAGAGATCAGCGGTAAAGACATGCCGTTCTGAAGTCCAAGTAGTCAATAGAGGATTTCAAGTCTTTGAGAACAACAAGGTGATGAACCAGGAGAACACGAGAGATAATCTCCATCAACTCTGTCTGTCCGTGACGCATACACGATTTCAACCAATGAAATTTCACAATGTAATACAATGGTAAAACAGTGACAGTAGTTCAGATATGGAGAAGTGTTAACCTTAACACTGTTCAATCAAATATAATACATTTAAAAATTGGTGTGGGCTGGATTACCTCAGCCGGTGACAACAATTATTCATTTGCTAACCAGTTTTCATCGGTTGCTATGTGTTACCTCCAGCACTCCAGACTCAAGAACCATTGAGTTTTAAGTGAATAGGTCTGGCAACTAGACAAGGTGATGTTAGAAGATCCTGTATGTTTGTGCTCACCTATGCTTTGGAGTGTCCACACAGTATCGTGAGTTCTTAATTCGATCAATTTTGAGGGCTTATGAAGTGTCACATCGGGCAATTCATGAACCATGAATGCACATGAAGTCTACTCATGCATACATCCCAGTAGATCAAAAACACAAACACCTCCAAGATGGCTGCAGTGCAAACAGTCTATACAAAGAGGGTTCATTAATAAAACCAAGTGATCATTATTGGCGGCAGCATTTCTAAATACCTGAGGACAGTGAAGACTCGGGCCATTTTGCCGATAGCTCGGATCTTGTTCCTGATGATCTCCTTGCGCGCTGCGGCAGAGGCAGCTGAAACAAGAAGACAAAATAAAAGACTATGAAGACAAGAAACAAAGAAATAATTCCACTCCAACTGCAAGATTCATGGGGTGCTTTTTAAGAAGATGCTAAAACACAGAAATTTAGGTCCCATCTGAATATGTTCAGCAGGAAAACTTGCAAGGCAAACTTTTCTGCTAAAATGTTGCCAACGAGGTTTCCTACAAAACAGTGAAATTGCTTTCTTTCTCTGAAAACTGTGACACTTCTTTCCTTGATTGACTGTTAGGGAAGACACAATCACAAACTTGGCAACTCAAAGGCAGAACTAACAAGTTCTAAAGTGTCTGTACTGAATGGAGTAAGAATTGGAACGAAAGTTCACACATTTATCTTTTAAACAAAAAACGTGAAGACTTGTGTGGCTACGGATGACAGGAAAATAAGAATCTCTGTGACATTAAAGATTCATAAAGTTACACCTAATGCTAAAAATAAAACAGGACTGATTTTAAACTATTAAAACAAATGTTTAATTAAAACATGCCCCTATATTTTAACTGCTTGAACACACTGATTACTATGATTAGAAGTTTGATTAAGTAGCAAAATTATTAAACAATTTCACTCTCATGTTAAAACTGTTCAACCAACTGCTTTCAAGCAAGGTTTCAAATAAATGCTTCATGTTCTGGGCAGATGAGCTATGACAAGCTGCATGAAACTTTCCACTGCAATTAATTGTAAAATGGTTGTAAATTAACAGAAATTAGCTAAAAAAAAAAAAACAATTACAAATCTCAAACATCTTATTTTTATGGCAATGTTATCCAAAATGTGCATGTGACCTGTTTGAACAAAATCACACCCCAAAATCTTGACTTTAAATTCAAACTTTATGCAGTCTTTCTGAGACAGGCTTTGTGGTAGCTTTTCCTAACACTTTCAACAGAGTTGGCAAGTTAATATCCGACACGCCAGCTGATGTTTTGCAGCACTCGTGCTAAGTGTTCTACGTTAGTCAACTCATATTGAAAAGTCTTCAATGACAAGTCTATCAAAAGTCATTGATTCTCTCAAAGCGGAGTGACTAAGCTAATAACAGTGAGAAAGACAATCCTCTGTCACCGTTCGTCAACTGTAATTTGTGACCTTGCATACTTGTGACGGATTTCACTACAATTCTATCCCATGCTGTGTTTCAAGAGATTTAAAAGGATGCTTGAACGTCTAACCAGCTTCGATGTCTTGAAATACTACTTGACTTGTCTTTTTTTTTTGAGGAGGGATAGAGTAGAGATTGTATTTCTAGCATCCAAGTGAAAACAACACTGCGAAGGTACTTTAAATCTTGCAAGTTGTTAATTATATCTTGGAAAACATATTGTGGTTGATGGAGAAAAAGTGTCTTCCACAAAGGCTTCTTGAAGTTAATAGAATATATTTAAAAACATAATTTTCTAAAACAACGGAGCAAACCACAAGTAAATATAAATATGAAGCATGACTGTTGTAGGCAATGTATCACTTTGACCTCACTGTTGCAAAAAAAGGGTCTGAGCACAACAATGAAGCTATGTATTAAAATCTCAGAAAAACAAATTTAATGGATAATATATTTGTTTTCCAATTTGGCTTTCAATCTATTTTCCCTTATTAAGGGAGGAGCGGTCGGTTATTATGTCATACGTAGGATTTTTATTTGGTTCTGTTTTAAGGTGATCAAAATCCATCCTATATTCATGATATTCTTTTCAGAGCTTCAGATAGCGGTAATCTGCAGAATCACTTTTTTGGCAAAACACCAAATCAGACCCCTCAAGACCAGCGTGATACCGGTATGTGTGTCACAGTCACCCATCAGCTTCACTCAAACTCCACACACGACTTCCTGGATGACATCATTTGCTAGACTTCCTTCCTGGCAAGAGGACTTGGGTAATGCAACACAACTTGGCACCTCCAGTCTCAAGATATTGCTTGCTCAACGAAACGTCTGCAATGCTTTCTTTTTGTGTTTCTGTCATTACTTTCATTTTTTTGAGATCACACTGTGAGGACTCAGTTGTCATTTTAAGAAGCTAAGAAACCAACACTGCATTCTTCTTTAGACTGCTTGCCCTACGGCCAAAGACCGACATCAACAGAAGAAGAAACGTGTCCTGAACATTTTCACTTAAAAGCTCTCCGTGATTCAGTTTTCCGTTTCAAAATTGTCTCGTCCCAAATATCGAAGTAGCTGCATGAATTTATTAATCATAGTCTGTTTATAAATGCAAATGTCAGTCTCTGAAACAACAAAGACCGGGAGCCAAGGCCAAAGTCACGAGGCCTTCCAAAACATGGAGCAAACGCAGTCTAAACCACTGGTACCCATGTGTGGCAGTGTAAGATGTTGCATGACACATGGACCAGTAAACAATCCTGGTATCCATACACTCCAGTGTGGAATTTTGCATATAGGGAACAGCTTACACACTGGTATCCATGGACTGCAGTGTGGCAAATAAAGTGGTGTTGGAACCAGCCAAAAAAAAACTGGTTCCCTGACACAGCAGTGCTCCATACTGCTGAAGACGCACACATGTGAATACACAATTTGCAAATGTTTCAGGTTTAAAATGCATAACAAGGCGAGCATATAAATTGGCAGTAGAAACACCAGAATCTCTATGTTAGTTGCTGCTCCACACGAATCAGAAATAAGTAAAAGTCTGGTGGTGGCAATCAACTGGAACACACTCCACACATTAGGCACTTCAAAGGGTACTTTCACAATCACACAGGGTGTTTTTTTTTTTGGTTTTTTTTTGAGGAAACATGCACACAACCATCAAACTTTTTCAAGAAAGGGCTGATTTCCAGCAAAATTGAATAGTAAATGGGAAACATAAGTTCATTTTAAAAAATAGGACTGAATTTCTTTTTAAAATGGAAATCCAGAAACATAATTTTGCAAAGTCAAGCACAAAAGTATGACTGATAACATTACGACAAAGTGTCGTCAAAATGATGCACATAAAAAAACTATTAGTATTAACGTTTTTCATAAGGGGTGTTAACTCTCTGTAATGAAGGAACAAATTCATTCTCAATGAACGGCAAAACAGGGTTAGGAAATTTGCTTCCAACTGTTAAGTATTGAACTTGATGTAACAGTGAAATCAGCTGAAATGTACTAAATAAACAAATTCATGAATAAAAAGCGTGCTGAAACATGGTAAAAACACTGCGCAACACGGCGGAAGGAATTAACAAACAGAGCTAGGAAACCAAACAGATCATTTTCTTTTGTAATTTTGTCAAGGGAAAGCTTCTGTGTAAGAGACTTGTAAGAAAAGGGGAAAGAGGTAATTTGGGATCAATAAGCAAAGATAAAATGTAGCAATAAGAATTGGAAAGTGTGGTGGTCAAGATTTGTTGCAAATATTTCCAAATAGAGCCCGGAATAGGTTTGTAATCAACAAATATGTTTCTAAAAAAAGAAAAAATTAAATTCAGACAAATCCCAAGAAAATCAAGCAGGTTATCAGTTGGAAAAAACAACAACCACACTCTTTGAAATGCTTCATTTTAACAGGAAATATTCATGAAGAGAGCCAAATCATTATTTTCTCATTTCTAAATTCAACTGAATGAAACTTGGTTTAGAAATGGTTGAACACATATTTGGGGGGGAGTTAGCTAAATTAAGGGTTTTTTTTTTTAATTTTTTTTTAGTCAACTGAAGTATTAGCTGACTTTGCATATTAAGAGAATCATGTTGGTTTCCACGCTCTTTGTTAAACCTTGGAAGGGGAAGAGGTAACCCTGGGTGGGGGATCCCCTGGGTGGGGAATCCTCTGGGTGGGGAGTATCCTCTGGGTGGGGGTGGGGAAGCAAGCATTCCGCAAGTTGCAACAACTTACCATTGATTTTGACAGATGCATTGCGTTTGTGGATAGCTGTTTTCATGATAAAAGGGTGCGTATGTGCACAGATAGTGAATAAAATGTGTACAAGAAAAAGAAAAAAAATGCGTACCGTACATACAAATAAACCATTCAAAGCCTTCTCCTCAAGCTATTAAAAGATTTGACTTGATAGAGAACTACAGTACACTGACTACATGTACATGTAGCTGCAGACGAATGAAGATTCCACCTACTGTTGGAATATTTTGACAAATCTAAACTCAACAACTTATAGAAACTGCGTACACTCATGCACTGGACAACATCTCTGAAAGGTTTAAAAAAAACAGCCAATATTTTTTTTCAATTCATAATTCATATAATTCATGAAAATCTCTTTGGCACAGGGTTACCAGCTAACGTTTCATACAATATGTACTGCTTACAACTGGTTCTCATACTTTTACACCAACTACAAGTGTCAGGTGATGGGTTTGGGGGAAATTGTACTTGCAGATGATGAATTTCATGTTACATCTTACTATTATTTTCCCCCTGCAACCAACACGAATTCTGCTAAAGACTGCACTCATGATGATGCAGTCAATACACATGGAAAGTGTCTGGGAACAAGACCTGTTTGACGGGCACAGACAATACGTGAACCACTTTGGGGGTGGGGCTTTGGGGAAATGGGAGGGGGTTGGGAGTGGATTGATTGACAAGCAATTACTCGGTAAAAAAAACCAAAAAATCTGTTAAAAACAACATCAGGTCTGAAAAAATGGGCCTGCATTCCATCCTTGACTAGAGCAGACATCTTGGTGAAGTACCCTGAAGGTACGTGCACAATTACCATTCAGTGGATAATGGGCTCCATACTGTTTCTTCAATCATGGTCATCTTGGAGGTTTGATGGTAAGCTAGTATTGCAATAGCATACATGTATTAACTTCTAAAGTTTACATTTATGACACAAAATTACCCCCATGATCAAGAATAACCTCAATTCTAGGTAAGTGCTGAGGAAGATACATTGTACATGTAGGATTTTCTACAATGCAGATGACCATCTGATCACCATGCAAAGCCTCAAATCTTACTCATCTGATCAAGGGATACATGTAGTTTTACAGGATGCTACACAGATGAACATTTAGATATGGACTGTCTACACAGCGACCTTCTTTCCTTTGTTGGACATTCCTAATGCCCGAAGCCTTTGCCGTTTGACTAAATGGCGCAAGTTGGGTATGCCTAAACTACAATAGGGGCAATTGCCATGGAGTCCATGCACAAACAGTAGAGGGCGCTTTGTAACTACTTTCGGGAGCCCCAGAGGAGGGACACACCATGTGTGTGTACTGGTTTCCGCTGGAATGGCGTGAGGTGTGCACAACTACATGTAAGTTTATTCTGAATGTGCACAAAACCATGGCGTGTTTGCGTGAGCGTCAGGCGTTGTCAGCAGTGCGTTCGTAAGTCCCAGTGGCCTCCCAACTCTCCATTTGTAGCAGTTGAGGGGGTACTTGTGCATGGAGCCCATAGGTAGTTGGAACGCAACGCACATGACTATGATGCAGCTGACCTATACGGGTTGGTACCAATAACCATCAACCAGGGTGTGGTCAATGAATGTTTATCTGAATACAGTGAACTTGCCAAGGATGCCAATCTCACAACATCTTCTTGAGTTGTCAAGTTGGCAGTTCCCTAGGCGGTGCAATAATAACTCTTTCAACTTCACTAAATGGGTGCTTTTATTATTATGCTATGTGTCAGCGTTTATTTTGGGTGTGCTCATGTGTGAGCATAAGGTGACACTGTGTAGCCTAGCATGGGTGAGTGAAGGTTGTGACGGATGTTGGGGGAGGGGGCTGAACAGCAACAATGAGCGATGTACATGTAGGTTATTTCCAGTTTACTTTCTTTTCTAATTTTCTCAACTTTTGAGGGACGTAGCAGCAAGTGCGTGCTTTTATCAATGGCTTCAAACAAAGGAAGAATCCTCTATGGTGCCATTTTTTCCCTCGCTTTTTCAAAACTGAGGATAGTTCGCTCATGGAGCCGAAAGAAGGAAAGGTTGGACGTGAGGGGTTGGGTATGAAAACAATGGCTACATTTATAGGGAACTGATGGAGATGTCTAAACCAAATCTTCGCAGTTTGGTTTGAGTTTTGGGCTGCTTAAATTTACAACAAATGTTTGTTTTTAATTATGGGTATAAATTTGTATACTTGGTTAATGATTCAGAAAGTATAACAAGGTGATGAAGACACAGAAGTTGGCAAAACTACACAACTAAAAACTAGGGAAAAAATGATGTTGGGGATGTTGTGTTTCTAGTCTACTGCTGACTTGGTGTACATGTGGGTGAGTTGTATCTGCATGTGGGGGATTCTACTGGGGTTGGGTTGTTTTCTCTGTGTTCTGGTGAAGAAATTGAGGCGTTCACAAAACATTGGCAACAGACTTACCCTGGTCCGCATTCTCCTCGCGACCTGAAGCAGGGGAATTGTGGGTCGGATAGACCAAGTAGGTACATGGTAAGTACGAATGCAACACACTTTTTCTTTTCCAGGTGTCCAAATTCAATTTTTGCGATTTTAGATAATAAACGGGATACATACATCAATATTTTCATTTTTTTTGGCATAGAACTTTACGTTATTCATTTAACATTTGACACTATTTCTTCTAACTTGATACAGTGCAAAGGATAGTGCAAGTCTGCAAGATGTAAATTTGAACACTGAATTCAGGGATTTTTTTCTGAATAAGCTAGCAGCAGTCATCAACATCAACGACAATATTTGTTGCACATGGGGAAAGGGTAACATCGGTCGGGGAGGTGGGGTGTTTTGTTCATTGGTTCAGATACTAGTTGACACCATTTGTACATAGAGCTACTTCTTTAGGGAACAGCCATGCTTTTTGTGGTGGGTTAACGTACACAAAGGTGATTTGGGGAAAGGGTTTGGGGGACATATTCACAATTTCATGGCAGGTTTTGGGATATTTTCTTTGGCAAGTACATTGACTTTTGGGGGTTTTTTTTTGGGGGGGGGGGAAAGAGAACACAGGTTTTTGGTTACCTACGTCATGTATATTACAAATCCTGCTGCTGTAATTTCTATTTTTTGTTTTAATTCCTGCAGTAATTTTCTCAAGTAATGTCTACACTAACGAAAGAGTCTGACAAAAAAAAAAAAAATCCTAACCCCATTTTGAAACCACAAGAAAGCCAACATGTTATTTGATCTATCATACACCCAGATGTAGGTGGGCTCTGATATTTTTTAATGAAATTGATGCGTAGGGAAAAAAATAATATGCCAATATGTTATTGAAAAAAAACCCCAGAAATCTGGTAATTGCAGGACAACTGACATCCCTGACTGATCAGCACTACATTACGCCGCACGATGTAACAAACTCATTAGATTTATTATGGCACATCATTGGGTTTGTTTTAATTTAATGTGAGACTAACTGACCTCAATTGTAACATGTCTAAAGTTGGCATATCATCTTCCGAAAACAGTTTAGCTGGTAACCAAGAGACTAAGCATGTGCTGTACAGAATAATATGCAAGTCTTCAGTCAACAAGTATGGAACTAACTTGGGTCATGCCTTCATTGCAAACCGATCATCTACATGTACCGGTAGTCCTGCGTGCTGTTGTTTTGACAAATAACTTCATTTGCCAAATGCCAGAGACCGAAAGCACAGAATGGAAACAATATTCTATTATTAACTTGGCGTTCATTAGTGCCATTGGAAGATGACTGTTATGCCATTGTGGTTTTGGTAATTAGGCAGTGAATACTGTGGCTTATTTTACTGGAACCATATGCCCACGCTAAAATCAAACGTACTCCCAAAACGGAATGCTCCAATTACCGCGTTATGCAAACCAAGTGATGAATGTGGATTTCCTGTCAGCTTTACACGTATACATTCGTGTCATTGGTTGAGAATCGAGTTGAGAAATATACGTAGCCCAAGCTATGGAATTGGGAACTACTGCAAATCTTAGCCTAAGAAAGGAAAAATGATAATGTAGGATATTCCAGAATTATCACACGACCTAATTTAATGAGAAACTTCGAGGGCGTGTTGGGCTGTTAAAATGAGCCTTCGCACTAGTCTGGTTCCCTAGCCTGTGGGTAACCTACAAGTATGAGTAAATCGTAATTTATGTTGCAACCAATGATCAAATTTAGAGCATGATGTAATTGTGTCCAAGGAGCCCTACTAATTGAGGTTCATTGACTGTATAAACTGTACATACCAATACTAGGCATTATGTCTACCACTGAGTTTTTGCCAATGTGAAATTTGTCTTGGATTGAAAAATAAATATCATTTCAGGATTTAAAACATGCATTACAGACTCTTGTATCTTAATAAACACAGCCATCTTACATCCTTAAACACCCAAGCATTGTGATGCCAAATGTGACTTGTGTGTGTTAACAGTAACGGATTTGACAAACTTTTGCTATTTTGCTGATGGAGGAATTCTTCTCAGTCGGTAACCAAATCAATCGCATGATGAACTCAACATATCGGAATTTCAGATCTGGGAAGCAACTATCTGGGCAGACAGCTCAAGCACTGCTGCATTTAACCAAGCTGGAAATAGGACTGTATTATGAGAAAATGATTTTTGAGAGATTTTGAAATGTAAAAGTACGGTAACTATTACTCGATAGGTCGCTACCAGTAGTCAGATAAACTGACTTGCATGAATCAAGTTGATTACCACACCCCAAAGCAAAAGCGAATTTTAAGATGTGAACAAATGTTGTATCATTGGGACATTTTCCATTTTTTTAAAATTCCTTTCCCACTAAAATTTGCTGGACATGTTTGACCTGGCCTGGGACCGAAGTGGACAGTGTCCCACGCTCACTGCTGAAGTCATACGTTCCGTCAAATCAAAGATTGCGTCCCAACTCTGGTCATAAATTTATCGGTTAATCTTGGAAATTTTACAAACTGTGGAAGATCAAAGGCAAAGGAGGACAGCATGGGTGGGTGTGTTGTCAAACAGGGTAACAGACACAGTGACAAAGGGGGAAAGAAATCTCACAGCCTACACAAATCACGTCACATAAAAACAAAAGATACTCATAGCCATTCCAGTAAACATGCAATTGCCGACGATTTCTCTACAGATATTTTGTGAGAATTCCTGCAAATTCACAATGACCTATAAAAAATCATGTTAGCCTACAGGATATTATCCAATTTCTTTACCAAGGTTTACACATAATCTAATCAGGACATTTCTGGGGCTGGAAATGAAGACATGTGCATGGCTTGAGCACACGGCCACATTAGTGGGACTTGTACAAAAGAGAACTGTTTTCTTCAAAAATGTGATTTTAGTAAATTTGACCAGTTTTGAGCGACTTGTACAATAGGAACTGTCATTTAGCACAGATCTGCAGCACCTTCAAAAATGTAATTTGGTAAATTTCACCATTGTTTTTTTAAAGCTTGCAAGTCACCACAATTTTATTACCAGAGGGTATGTAAGACCTCCCAATTTTGGTCAGATTGCCTGCTCCTGGAATGGCACTTACAATGTACAGTACAAAATAAAAGTCCAGTTTCTGCTGAACACAATGATACATCGATCTACTAGCATGCATGGAGCGTGGAACATGGATCACCATACACAAAGTGTGCCAAGTCTGCAGCCCTGCTAACAGACTAAAACGCTGAGCATTGATGTTGGCACATTTTCTGTATAGTAAGAAATAAAGAGAATATCTTTCTGGGACATGGGGAGTTCTCTTGCGAGCAGAAGTTTTGCTTTCTGGTCCTCACCTTCCTGGGAGCTTTCGGTGTCTTCCTGATCATCATCCGAGCAGATATTTAAGATGTTGACCAACATCTCCGTAACTGTGGAGGAGAAAGATGCAGCTTTCATTCACGAGTGGGAGAAAAAATAAACACACATGCACCAACAAACACTGTCTGGTTTGTAAAATCACTGAGGACCTTATTGTTCCCTTTTTTTGTTCCTATTGTTTAGACTCATTGATGACAACCTTCCGAGGACTTGTGCTCAGGTCCTGAGGTTTATGTTGTTGTTGGCAAGCCATTGTCCCAAGTCCACAGACCAAAAAGATGAGCCAGGCACAAAAACAGACACCAGGCGGCGGATTCAAATTGTTCAACATTTGTTTGTTGACTCCAAAGGTTACCAATAGATTGATCCATTTGAGTCCCACCCATTTTTTTTGGACCAATCCCAGCCGTGATTTAAGTTAGGGTAGATCATTTGTCATTTGTGCATTCTTTTTTCGTTTGAAGCAACAAAAGTGCTCAAAATCTTAAGACAGGTGCTTAACAACTAACCTGTTGAAGCTTTATAAAGAAGAAAACAATATTCTACGATCTCGATTTCAATTCAAAAGTTGCCAAGTCATGTTTTGAATTGTACCAGAAATAAGCGTCCGGGACACTGAACTGACGAATAATAGCAACCGCGCACGCATGTGCGTCGTGTCAACGCTTGCGCACACCCATTCAGGGATTCGCCGAATTACAAACCAACTACTAACAGAAATTTCCAAAAAATGTGTCACTTGACACACCTTTGGAAATGGCCTTCTTTTATTGTTTTCTTCCAAATGACAGCATGCTAGGAAGAATCATTTCACAGGGAGTTTAGTGCCATTACTATCTTTAAACCAAGTAAGTTTTTAACAATAATTTCGTAAGTTACTTTTTGGTATATGATCTACTCTACCTTTAATGTGCAACATGCGTCTATAGGAGACTGACATGCGTGCACATGCATATGACGCGCAGCTGGAACGTGCAGTGAGGCATAGGAGAAGCGCAAATGTCATTAATGCCAGACCATTCCGTTTCTTACCCTTCTCTCCCACGAACGGTAAGGACCACGTGAAAACGTCCATGAAGTTCGGCAGCCAGTAAGGATGGGGAGAACAGTTGAACTGCCGGATGTTCATCACGTTGTTCTCGTATTTCAACACAGCAGCTGCAAAAAATAAAATGGCAAGAAAATCAGTGTTACTCTTAAAAAAAAGTAATGTCTGTCACGAGCCAATATGGCCTATCAGGCTGGCGTTTATCTCTGGTTTCAAGGACACAACATATGGCCAGCGATCATGAATCACAAACCCTAACCATCCCGCAAATGTCAAATTTTAAAGCTCACTTACAACCTCAGGATGCATCGAAAGCCATTTGCAAAATTTGGGGGAAATGACAGATTTGAACGATCAACAGAAGGCAGTGTTGAATTCATTCGAACTGGGAACTGAATGCCGTGAAAAGCGGTCAGATTACATAAAAACAAAGTGGAAATAAATAACAGTAGTTTTGAATTTCAGGCCGTAAACGTGACATGCAAGATGCCAAAGTAGTTACTGTTGGATTATTCGTTCAATTTGAAAACTCTGAAAATAATGGTATTCAGTGCCAAGTTAAACAATGTATGATTGCTTTCTCAAACTGCCAATAATTTCAGGCAATGTAATAAACCGTTGCAAGGAAAAACCTTTGTTGTTGTAAACATCCAGATAGTTTGGTGCCGAGAAGAGGGTGATGAGTACAGGGAAACCTGTTGCTTGGCTCTTCTTATACATGCGATACCTGCATAAAAATGAACGAGACAGGAAACCAGACCATGAATAAATGATGTATACAGGTATGTTTTGTACCTGTATTATATAGAGTTCAAAAAATGTTTATTCATTACTACTAACGTCTTTGAACAGAAAAGGGTTACCTAAAATATTCTTTTTCTATTTTCTTTAGGGAATATGTGTGAGACGATTGGAGAAGCGTGCTTCTAAAAGTAAAACACACTTAAATTTAAACAAATTGCAAAGGCGTTTGGCAGTGCTACATGGATCAACCTTGATAATCTCACAGGATTCGTAAAAATTTTCTCTGGGTAAAAGAATTGGGAGGAAAGCGAGGGCGGCAGTTATTGTGTATATTTTCAAATTGGAAAAAAATAATGACAAATTTGTGTAATTTTGTATTATGAAATAGGAGTATCATATTTTGTGGTTTCTGAAAACACTTCCCTAAAATAAATTATCATGCAAAAACGAAGTGGGTGGGAGTGATGTTTGCAAAATCTTGTTTTTCAAGGGATTACAGAATAGGATATCATAGACTTTCCAAGTCTACTTCTTGTCCAGCAAAAATTCCAAAAACAAGTCACAGTTCTTATTTTAATAGTACACTGCAAGGTTTGCACATGTACAATAAAAATTGAGGGTAGACCTGTTTAAAAGAAAATCTATTTCCTCGAATGGTCATGTTGACATCTTTTCTTCATAAAAGTAATCAGATACCATATTGTCACACCAAACATGCCAAAGTAACAAAACGGGACAATACAGCGGGATATTTTGACGTAAAGGTCACTCTGTCCTGGGATGTAGGAAGAGTGGGCTGGTGGAATTGCGGCGACTTGTCAAATATAGTTGGCCATTGTTAAGGAACAAGAAACACCCACACTTAACTCAAACCTTTTGTACGTTTTCTTACACGGAGATGTTATTCTGTGTCAATGGGGAAATGCAACATGCCTCCAGGGTTTTATAGCGACCAGTAGCATAGTGAGAATTTTGTTTCTACCAGGAAAACAAAATTAATTACATTTTCCAATTTAACTGTGCCTTGACTAATGGTAAAATCACATCATTGTTTTCTGCTTTTTTTTTTACAATGATTCATTGCTCATTTTCTAATTGAACTCTAACATTTGTATTATAACTTTTAATACATTTACATTTTGTCCAGCACAATCAGGCACCATGTGTCTACAACGTGTGTAACACCCAATATATTTTGTGTCCTGAACGGGCCCATCCAATAAATGGGTATTTCAAAAGAAAATAAAGCATTACAATTTATACAACATTTTGAAAATATTTGAATTGATTATTAAAAATGTATACCGGTACTTGTTGGCCTCAACTTCTGTTGAATCGATCACGCAGATAACAAGTGGATGAATTTAAACATGGAAGTCTGTGACTATACTAGTCAGTGTTTGGTACCAAGACGTTTACATAAAAATGTGAACATGGATTGGCGAGGCTTGACGCTCCATATCAGAGTGCACTCACTATCTATGATTGGAATTATGTGTACACCCATTGCAAAATGAGAAAGCAACACCAACAACTTGATCAATCCAATAATAAAATTCCCTTTGTTTCTCATCAAGCTCTCCCAAATACGTATTTCCAATCTGATTCCTTTTTGAATTGCCCTTCCCTTGGCCCCTTGCTTGAGTGTGTCAAGATGGTGTTAGGCTTAGATTGACACAGCTTGGGCTGAAACAACAATCAACTAGATACCACTACAGGAACTGCCCAAGACAACTCTAACACACCGCACACGAGACTCTACGCAACCATCTCGCAACCAGTTTTGCTAGAAAAAAAAGTAGAAAAGTTTCTCGTAGAATATATTTATTATTACTGGTGAACTCATAGTCCAAAGTCAACACATATTTTAAAAAAATTCTTATAATCCAAAGCTGTCTGCTCATAAGTTGAACTGAAAGATTTGGCCCCCTCCCCTCCCCCTCCATTGTTCTATGTGATGGCTTTATCATAAAACATGAGAATACAGAATGACATTTTCCCAATTCGTTATAGTAATGCCTACAATATCAAAATACGATTATATTTTCTCCCTACTCCTCCCTAGTGTACCAATAGTGGGAGTGTGATGCATAATTCAACGGTGCACTAGTGTTTACTACCCCCCCCCCCCCCCAACAGGATGTACTGCACAGCTTAATAGTTCTCTGAATGCTAATTTCATGAAGTTATCCAACATCTGACATTTCAGCTTGTGTTTTTGATAGGTTTACTCAAATATCAATGTTTCTTTGGAAATCCATATTGGACTGTGTTAATAAACTACAAAGAGACACAGAGGGTTTTAAGTTGATTGCCATTGTGCATACTGCTTTTTTATGCTAACATGTATGTGTAGACAAGTCAGTTTGAGAAACTCAAGTTTTGTTTATCATCTTCTCAATTTTTGAAAACATCTGGTTGTACTACACATGTAATTGTTGAATTTCTTTCCACACTTGACATAATTTTACTACGCAAATATTGCTGTGAGGGGCCAGCCTACATAGTCATGGCAGTCAGGGCGTATAAATACATGTACATACCATTAACCCTACTGCTGTCTGAACAGTCACAGACAGTCAAAAATCAATCCTCTCCCCTGCCATGCCTTTTGCACAGGATAGTCACCAACACTCAGATCATATTTCAAGCAAGCACTGTGATTAGTCAAATTCAGTCAACCGACAAAAACAGGCAAGTGGTAGGCACAGCTGGCTTATCAATCACCTACGGTCAAAGCATAGCTGTATTGGCTTGACATAAACAGTCACAGCCAATCAATTGATCCTGCTTTATGTTGGCTGGGAGCTCTTAACTGTTGAAAACAGTCACTTGATTGGTTTTGACTGAAAGGACAACTTGGCACAGAATGTATGTTTGCAAAGGAGGAGTAGTGCTCACCCAAGGAAAAACTCCTTCATTGACCATGGTAAAAAAAGGGGTAAAAAAAATAGGTATCTTCCATTGTATACTCATTACCAATAACTAACTCAACCCCCATGTATTTAAATTATATGCTAAAAATGCGAGGCTGTAAATAGCTGATCCACAGACTTTTGAGACACCCTACTGATTCCCACAGAATCTAACAGAATCCAACAGTAACAACACTATGTGAAGACCCCTGAATCTCACAGAAGTCAACAAGAGTAAAATTTATCAAACAGAACTATCAAACAGCAACAAGGCACAAATGTACTGGGTCTAACAAAATCCAATGGAATCCAACATAATCTAACAAAAGTGTGCGAAGACTCCTGAATCCCATGGAAGTCAACAAGAGCAAACCCTATCAAATATATCTATCCAACGGCAAAAACCTGTAAATTCTACTGATCCTAACAAAACCCAACAACACATGCTAGAAGATTCCTGAATCCAATAGACTCCACCCACAGCAAAAGCGAGGTCTGCTGAATCCTATAGAATCCTTGCTGAATCCCTGTTAGGCAGAATCTAACAACAGCCAAACATTCTTAATTGCAAAGCAAGATCCTCATTTAAATTCTGTTGTTCAGAACTTGCTGGAGTTAGAGGGTTATTAGTTTTAACCTGAAATGCAATTCAGTGAACTTTTCACCTCTTTCTTTCCTTCACCATCGATTTGATGAGCAACATGTTTGTTTTATCTTCAAGTTGACATCTGTTGCACAGTGTCTGCGTGACACTTTATCAATAATTGGCAAATTATAGGTTGAGGAATACATAATCAAGACTAAGTCAGCAGCTGTAAAACCCACAAAATATGACAAATGTTGCAACCACGAATCGATTCTGAAAGTCTATTACCTCTACAGACAACCAGGGTAAGATGTGTTGCAACAAAATAAAAGCTGCACACAAATTTGCTAACGTTTCTGATTGCACAACACACGGCCGTTGCAATTTCTAATTTGAAACTGTTTATCTTGTTCTGTTTCATATAATTCAGCTCTTTCTGAACCATTTTTTTTTTGCTGTGATTGTTAAAAATAAATTTGAATCTCTAGTACCTTACAAACTGTTTTCTGAAGTTAGTTTCTAAAAGTTACTGAAAATTCTTGTTCGCTACAACATTAATTGGATAGTCCTACACGTAAGATAGTTTAAAAAAATTGGTATTTGCAGCATTCAAATTCCAATAATCTATTTTCTTCAGTGCGCTTCCAAGACTATGTGGGCTTTCCAAAACAAAAAAGGCCATCAGATTATTAAAACCACAAGTGGTAAAGAAATTCCATGTAACTTAATCCAGGTGGTAGATGTTCGAATCCCCAACGCAACCCTTTTCCCAAACTTGTTGAGAGCCAGTAACCGGGTGTTTTTACATCACATACCCTGGGAACAAGACCAATTCGGCCGGTTATGAAAGCTAAACAGACAGAGGGAGAGTTTTATCATTCAAATGCAACCACCGTCACCATCTACAGTACATGTCTCTTTCTATTAATAATCCTACGGCAGCACGACCCTACTCCTGTCAAATATATATAATGCAGACAGGAAGAATTAGAAGGTGAAACATGATCCCTGCACAGCCATGGCCCAGTTCAGGTGCCAGCGAGTATAAATGCGGTCCCGCTTTAATTACATTAGGGTGTGTGGTGGGTACGGTTTTCTATTTCAGGGAGTTTTTTTTCTGTGAGGGTTCTGCAGTGCAGTGACACTGCGCGTGCAGGATAAGTACAACATGTACATGTACACTTGTGCACATGGGGATACTGAACATGTTCAGTATGCAATACTCTGTGTGTTCAGACTGCTAGAGCTTTTAGCATATTATGGGGTTTTTTATGTTGGGCCAAAGTGATAGTCTTTGTGGTTAATCCTTTGTGGTATTGGGATAAGGGAATGCTTATGTGGGTCAATACAAATAGAGTTGTTGCACTTGATGTGCCCTCGGAAAGTATTCAAATCAAAGGTGAACCAAAATAATAATTTTAGTGTTCCAACGAATAAATTAAAATATTGTATTGCCTGATTTCTACAGTAATGGAACATGCA